AGGTGCGAATGATAACTATTCTGTTTCCTCGTTTTTCTATTTTTTTGTTCTCGAAAACAGGTTTAGAATAGAAATCTGTTTGATAAAATAATTTCATTTTTCTATTTTCGGAATAAATTTTTAGCCCAGAAATAGGTTTCTAACATAAATAAGAAGTTAAAATTTTCTACTTTTCTATTTTTGGAATAGAAACAGAAATAATAATTCTTTTTTATTACTCGCCCTTGCCGTCCGCCGCCTCTGCCCGCCATTCGCCCTGTCCGCCGCCCGCCCGCCTGCCAGCCATCTGTCGCTGTTCGCCGGGAACAAAAATTTAAGAACAACCTATCAAATGAATTTCTATTCTAGAAACAGAAATTTTGTATCATTATCAAATGCTACTTTTACTCAAAAACTCATATGAAAAATAGAAATAGAAAAAATCTAGGTAGAAATAGGATTGAAAAAGAGAAATCTTATCATTCGCCCCCTTAGTTGTCCTTAATGATAGAAACTAAGGGTTGACAAAATTGTAGTTAAGAAGGCCCTTGAGGAAGCATAATGTCTATAGTTTGACCCGTACAATTGGCTCTACAAATCATATATCGGTAATGATGATATGTACTTATATGAAGTGATTTTCTTTCGTTTTGTTTTATTTACACATTTCTTTTCTTAACTTGGTGTATTGAAATGCAGCATTATGCTAAAGAGCACAAAGATGCTACCCTCGCTCAAGAAGTTATGAAGCTCTTGAAAAAGAATAACTTACCATTGCAACCCAGCACGGCCGATACTGTTTTCAGGTTCACTTTCATGCTAATTAACCCGATTGCATGCTGTTTTTTTCTGAAAAGGATGTCATTATCATGGAGTACACCACTAAAGCACTCAACTGTTAACTACGTGAAAAATTCTACTCAGTTATCAAGCAATTTATCCGATTTATAAGCGTATTCTCATAAATGAACAAAATCAAGTTGTTCTTCTTTTTATCATTTTGTCTGCATTGCTACTCTCAATTTATTGGTTTACTCATGTTATTTGACATCCTTTTTTTTATAGAAATTTTTTTGAAGCATTTGTTATGATCCAGACATTTGGGGTTTCTCACAAAGTAGTCGAAGAGATTTGTCAAGGATGGGGTGAAATTGCATAAAGTTGCATTTGACATCTAGATGTAGTTTGCTACCTAATTAGGTAAAAAACTCAGAGTCTCCCTTTGCTACTCTCACGCCCTTGTCCCTCAACAAATTTTTACTTTTGTTTCTTCCCAGAAATAGTTTGCTCATCCAAGTCCCGCCACCTACTAGAGAAGGACGGGATGTGCTAGATATATTCTTCTGCCTAATCAAATAGGCAAAAGGTAGAAATTCAAAGAATTGTCGTTGTGTTGTGTCTTTCAACGGCATTGTTTCTTTTCCTGTTCTGAGATCATGCTTCTTTATCCTATTAAGTAATTCGAAGAAAATTTATCCTTCTTAGGAGACCGTTTTTTTTTTTATCGGTCTTACTCTATCTCTCTCTCTCACTATATACACTCTCAGACTTTTGAATAAACAAACATTTAAGAGACAATTGAATCTCTATGGAAAATTGAGAAGCTAAAGATCTGAGTCCATGAAGCAACGCACGCTATCGGAAGTGGGTTCTCATGTGTGAAGGTAGTTTACAAACACACACACCGTTGAAATAATGGATATCGGACCTGGTCATTCATTATGCCAAGTCATTATGAAAAAGTAGCACACAACTCCATTGCTAGTTGTGACGTGACTTTACTTGAGTCAAAGTATAGTTGGACCTTTTTGATGTTTCGATTTTTAAGGCCCCAACTCTCTAAACATAAGATGAGATTTTTCCAAAATGATGTCCATGTTTGAATAAGTCTATGTTGTTTTTTGGGCCATCGACATTTGAATAAGTCTTGGGAGGGAACATCCTTTGATTAAATTGCATATCGACTCCTCTTGGATCTCTAGCGCAAAAAAAGAAAAAGAAAAGAAAATTAATATCATAATCAATACTACATGTGAGCTCGAAATAATGCAAGACAGAGTCATTCTTAAAATGTATAGGCAACCATATCAGTAGCCTCAATAGCGGCATCTTGCTGATCCAATAATTCGTGGGATCTTCTACTGCTTCTTCAACTTCTGCATTCCACGAAGCCCGGCCCTTCTCATGCTTCGCTAACTTTTGTTTCGCCATTATCTTCCTGCAGAATGAATGGGGGGAAAAAGAACACAATAATTAATAAATAGCGGCGACGCTTCCAATCCTCAACTGAATCACATACTCACAAGTATGGAACCACAACATTTCAGACGCATGGAAGCACTTGCCAACGTAAGAAGCCATGCGTACGTAGAGACAGAAACAAAGCAAGAAGATGGACGAGCTCTGTTCGCCATTGTTTCCCGCTTTTGTATATGGGTGCGAAGTGATCAATGAAGCTCTTTAATCACAAAGGAAATGTCAAAATAAAAAAGGGGGAAAACCCCCCAAGTCATTAGAGTTCAAATACGCTGGTAAAGCGGAGGATCAATAATATAGCAAGCACCAATCTGCAGAACCGAATGGCAGCAACAGAATCGCAAGCGAGCGACCAGTAGAACGGCAGCAACTCGGCTCGAAGTGTTTGTCTTGACTCAATCATCCTCCATCGAAATCCGACCGTCATTCTAAAACTTCTTCAAAAACTCGGTATTCAAACACGAAGCACCCATCCATCCACTTCCTAGCGCAAAACACCAGAGGCACCTATAACCGCACCGACCCCACTAACCCTAGCAAGCAAACGAGAGATCCGGCACCAAAATTACAACTAACCCAGTAAAAAAACGGCACAAGAAAACAATCGAATCGTGACTGCTTGTTCTAGAGAGAGAGAGAGAGAGAGAGAGAGGCCGAATCGGACTCCGAAGTGATGATTCCGAATTGAAAAGGGGAGGAGGAGAGAGTCGAAGGGGGTCGTTCGATCAGAGATGGTGTCCGAAAATGGAGGAAGCAGAGGAGGGTTTGCTTTTTTTCGTATTTTAGTTTTAAATACCTTTCCGCTTTTATTATTATTGTTATTGTTATTATTATTTGAGCGATTATTTTTATTTCGGTTTTGGTTCATGCGAGTGGGTGCCAAAATTTCCCACCAGTCACAGCGGGGGAAATGTAATTTCTTTCCCGCCGCGGGAATTGAAGCCAGCATCGGCTCACACGCGAGATGGACCCACGGCTCGAGGATCGGGGGTGGTCTAACTTGGCCTCACCGCCTGCGTCTTGATTGAATTCGAGCAATATGGTCAAATATTGAAATCAATCTCTCTATCTTATATGGGAACAGGTCATGGTCGAGGGGGATGGTTGCTTGGACAAACTTGATGGCCACAACTAGGGCGAGAGGTAATTGCGATTCGCATTCATGGCATCAGTTACTGCTCTGATTCTCTGATCAAGAGTTTTGATTGTGAGAAGGTGCGAATAGACGGGCTTTGGGATTGAGCACGTCGGCTTTGAGCTTGGACAGTGAGGTTTGTATTGTGAATTTGGGCGGATTAGCTGTTTCAGGGTTGGGGGGCAATCATAGACTGTGTCGTGGAGCTATAGTGCCTGATTTAATGGGGCAAACTATAGCTATATGATCCCTCTGGTGTACAATTGAATGTTTTCAGAGTATATAACAGACGGGCATCGAGTTGTCTTTGGTCACTGAGTTTGGATCAATGCTACGCCTGGAATATTGTCCGATTGATTGAATTTCCTTATTTTTGTTAGATCCAAATCTCATTTTCTTGTTTCTGAAAAATAATTTCAAAAACAAGAAAATCTTAGTCATAATCAATACTACATGTGAGCTCGAAATAATGCAAGAAAGAGACATTCTTAAAATGTAAAGGCACCATATCGGCGTCAATAGCGGCATTTTGCTGATCCAATATGTCCTGAATCTTCTGCTTCTTCAACTTCTGCATTTCACGGAGCCTGGCCTTCTCACGCTTGCTAACTTCTGTTTCACCATTATCTTCCTGCAGAATGAATGGGGAAAAAGAATACAAAAATAAATAAAAAGCGGCAACGCTTCTGATCCTCACTGGGTCATTCTTACAAGTATCTAACAACATTTCAGACGTATGGAAGCACTAGCCAACTTAAGTAGTGCATGTAAAGAGAGAAACAAAGCAAGATAGACGAGCTATGGTTGCCATTGTTTCCCACTTTGTAAATGGTGAGGCGACTGATGAAGCTTTAATCACAAGTAAATGTTAAAGTAAAAGGGGAAAACCCCAGTCATCAGTTTCAAAGAAACATGAACAGTTGCAGCCCTGCTCGAGTCCTCTAGCCATGGAGATGCAAAACCAACCCAATAGGAAAAAGAAAGGTAAATAAACAGAAATTCCTCTCAAAGAAGGCGTAATTTTTGGCATGCACGATATTAAAATTGAACACCACGCCTACACTACGAGCAAGAGAAACTACTAACTTCCACTCTTCTTCATCCAACTGAGAGTAACACCAGAAAATAGTACACCCCGAAAGAAGAGCAAGAAATAAGTCCACCTCGAAGATGCTTCGACTCTTGTGCTAAGTAAACCTTACAGAACATGTATTTATACGTGTATACTTGTGCATTGTTAGACTTCATTCTGAGCAACGCACTAGTAAAGCGGAGGATCAATACAGCAAGTGCCAATTTGCAGAAACGAATGCAGTAAAACAATCACAAGAGACCAGTAGAACAGCAACTCGTCTCTCAGAATGTCCTAACTCAACATCCTCGATCGAAATCCAACGCTCATTCTAAACCTTCTTCAAAAACTCGTATTCAAACACGAAGCAGACATCCACTTCCCAGCGGAAAACACCAGAGAGACCTATTACCGCACCGACCCCCGCAAACCCTAGCAAGCAAACAAAAAGATCCGGCATCAAAATCCCAGCAGAAACCACGCAGGCAAACAACCGAACCTCATCGTCGTCGTCCTCCTCCTCGGCCTCGCCATTCTCGTCGGCCGCGCCGGCCGCTCCGTCGTCCTCGTCGGCGGAGCTGGCGGAGCGGGCGACGGCCTCGAGCTCCTCCTCTTCCTCCTCGTCGACGGGCTCGTTGAGCTGCTGCTGCTGCTGCGGCTCCTCCTCCTCGGAGCCGTCAGACAGGGCCTCGTCGGACGACGCCGGCTGCTTCGATGGCCTCGCCATGGCGGCGGTCGTCGGCGCTGGAGGCCTGTTCCCCGGCGGAGATCGGCGGATCGGTCGGTCGGTCGGTCGATCGATCGAGTTCGTCGCCGCTCGTTCTAGAGAGAGAGGGAGTGAGAGGCCGAATCGGAATCGGAATCGGAATCGGAAGTGGCGATCCGAAAATAAAAAGGGAAGAGGAGAAGAGGAGTCGAGACGGTGTCCGAAAATGGAGGAAGCGAGGAGGAGGAGGAGGGTTTGCGATTTTTCGTAATTTTGTTTTAATAGTTTTTCCGCTTTTATTATTCTTTTCGGGGTGGTTTTCTTCTTCTTTTCTCATTTTCGTGTAATGCAAATAAAATGGGTGCGAAAATTTCCCGCCAGTTGGAGCGGGGGGAAACGTGGGGTTTTCGTTTCCCGCCGCAGGAAGTGAAGCCAGGGCCAGCTCGCGCGCGGGATGTGGACCCCCGCGGTTCGAGGATCAGGGCGGTAGTCCGACTTGGCCTCGCCACCCGAGCCGTCATGGGTCACGATTTTTTTTAATAAATAAAAAAAAATGAAGTAATTATTGTTACCGCTGCCCATTACACTACGTACAGTTTGAGTCATAACAATCCCGTCGATGTGTTATAAGTATGGAAATCTTTTAAGATGAGGTAATAAATGCCCAGTATACTAAGGGCGTGCATGGAATCCATTCTGGAGCATAAATTTTACTCCAAAATGCATTCCGGAACAGAAATGCATTTGTTAAAAAATTTCCGAAATTGCTCCTTCCGAAATGCATTCTGGAGCAATTTTTGCATTCAGGAATAAAAACGCGTTTAGTGAAACTTCATTCTTTTTTTGGTTCCGGAATGAATTTTTGCTTTCAAAATGAGTCTCGGCTCAAAAAAGAGAAGCTACAAAAATGTAGCTTCTCTCTTCCAGAATGCATTATAGCCCAAATTTCCTTTTTTACAAGAAATCAAAAATTTCAAAATATAAAAAATTTCACAGAATGGCTAAAAATACTTGATTCCAGAATGCATTCTTGATTCCAGAAAACATTATTGATTCCAGAATGAGTTTTTGGCAAAAAAAAAGAGAAGCTACTTTTTGTAGCTTCTCTCTTCCGGAATGCATTCTCTATCTTTTCTCACAATTTTTTTTTCAGAAAATGCATAAAAATTGAAAAATTCTAGAAAAATTCATAAAAATTTCCAGAAAATAAAAAAAACAGATTTCGGGAAAATATGAAATTTGGTGAATTTTTTTTAAAAAAATCAAAAATTTCAAAACTTCACATAATGGCTTAGAACACATGTAGCCACCCACTTTGAGTGAAATTTAAATTTTTTTAGGCGTCCAAAAAAAATCGAAAAATCATAAATTTCAAAACTTCACAGAATGACTTAGAATACTTGTGGCCACCCACTTTGAGTGAAATTTAAATTTTTTGAGGTGCCAAAAAAAAATCAAAAATTTCAAAACCTTACAGAATGGCTTAAAATACCTGTGGCCATCCACTTTGAGTGAAATTTAAATTTTTTGAGGTGCCCAAAAAATTAAAAAAAATTTCAAAAATTTCAAAACTTCACAAAATGACTTAGAATACCTGTGGCCACCCACTTTGAGTGAAATTTAAATTTTTTGAGGTACCCAAAAAAAATTAAAAATTTCAAAACTTCACAGAATGGCTTATATTGCCACCCACTTTGAGTAAAATTTAAATTTTTTTAAGTGCAAAAAAAAATCAACATATCAAAACAAATTTTTGTTCCATAAATCAATTTCTGGAATAGAATTAGTCATGTTTTACCAAACATATTTCTCCTCCAGAAATCAATTTCTGGCAAGAATTCCAAAAATCAATTTTTGGCAAGAATTTGATTTCTGAAGCAGAATGGAAGCCATTCTGTAAAATTTTGAAATTTTTGATTTTTTTGGGTACCTAAAAATATTTAAATTTCACTCAAAGTGGGTGGCCATAGGTATTCTAAGTCATTCTGTGAAATTTTGAATTTTTTGATTTTTTGAATTTTTGGTTTTTTGTAAAGAAGGAAATTTGGGCTAGAATGCATTCTGGAAGAGGGAAGCTACAAAAAGTAGCTTCTTTTTTTTGGGCCAAAACTCATTCTGAATGCAAAAATTCATTCCGGAACAAAAAAAAAATGAAGTTTTACCAAATACATTTTTATTCCGGAATGCAAAAATTGCTCCAGAATGCATTCCGGAAATTTTTTAACAAACGCATTTTTTGTTCCGGAATGCATTTTGGAGCAGAATTTCTGCTCTAGAATGGATTTCATGCGCGCCCTAAGCCATTCTGTAAAGTTTTGAAAGTTTTTATTTTTTTTTTATACCTAAAAAAATTTAAATTTCACTCAAAGTGGGTGGCCACAAGTATTTTAAGCCATTCTATGAAGTTTTGAAATTTTTGATTTTTTAATTTTTTGGGCACCTAAAAAAATTTAAATTTCACTAAAAGTGGGTGGCCACTTGTATTCTAAGCCATTCTGTGAAGTTTTGAAATTTTTGATTTTTTGATTTTTTTTGGGCACATAAAAAATTTAAATTTCACTCAAAGTGGATGGCCATAGGTATTCTAAGCCATTATGTAAAATTTTTTATTTTTTATTTTTTGATTTTTGTTTGAGCACCTCAAAAATTTTAAATTTCACTCAAAGTGGGTGGCCATAGTATTCTAAGCCATTATGTAAAAAATTTTATTTTTTATTTTTTGATTTTTGTTTGGGCACCTCAAAAAATTTAAATTCCACTTAAAGTGGGTGGCCACAGGTATTCTAAGCTATTCTATAAAATTTTGAAAATTTTGATTTTTTTATTTTTTTGGGCACCTAAAAAAATTTAAATTTCACTCAAAGTGGGTGGCCACAGGTATTCTAAGGGCGCTCATGGAATCCATTTTGCTCCAGAAATCAAATTCTTGCCAGAAATTGATTTCTGAAGGAGAAATCTGTTTAATAAAACATTACTAATTCTGCTCCAGAAATTAATTTCTGTAAGATAAATCTGTTTGATAAAACAAAAGGAAATTTTTGCTTTTGGAGGTGCCCAAAAATTTAAATTTCAGTCACAGATATTCTAAGCCATTCTATGAAGTTTTAAAATTTTTTATTTTTGAATTTTTTTGGGCACTACAAAAAAATTTAAATTTCACCACAAGTAGCCAATTGGCTACCCACTTTGAGTGAAATTTAAATGTTTTGAAATTTCACCCACTTTAAATTTCACTCACTTTAGGTGAAATTTAAATTTTTTTTTAGTGCCCAAAAAAATTCAAAAATAAAAAATTTTAAAACTTCAGAGAATGACTTTAGAATACCTGTGGCCACCCACTTTGAGTGAAATTTAAATTTTTTGAGGTGCCCAAAAAAATAAAAAAATAAAAAACTTCAAAACTTCACAAAATGGCTTAAAATACCCGTGGCCACCCACTTTGAGTGAAATTTAAATTTTTTGAGGCGCCTAAAAAAATAAAAAAATAAAAAATTTCAAAACTTCACAGAATGGCTTAGAATACCTGTGGCCACCCACTTTGAGTGAAATTTAAATTTTTTGAGGTGCTCAAAAAAAATCAAAAATCAAAAATTTCAAAATTTCACAGAATGGCTAAGTATACATGTGACCACTCACTTTGAGTGAAATTTAAATTTTTTTAGGTGCCAAAAAACAATCAAAATTTCAAAACTTCACAGAATGGCTTAGAATACATTTGGCCACCCACTTTGAGTGAAATTTAAATTTTTTTAGGTACCCAAAAAAATCAAAAATAAAAAATTTTAAAATTTCACGGAATGGCTTAGAATACTTGTGGCCACCCATTTTGAGTGAAATTTAAATTTTTTTAGGTGCAAAAAAAATCAACAGATCAAAATAAATTTATGTTCCAGAAATCAATTTCTAGAGCAGAATTAGTCATGTTTTATCAAATAGATTTCTCCTCCAGAAATCAGTTTCTTGCAAGAATTCCAGAAATCAATTTCTGGCAAAAATTTGATTTCTAGAGCAGAATGGTTACCATTCGCACCCTTAGAATACCTATGACCACCCACTTTGAGTGAAATTTAAATTTTTTGAGGTGCCCAAAAAAAATTTCAAAATAAAAAATTTCAAAATTTCACAGAATGGCTTAGAATACCTGTGGCCACCCACTTTGAGTGAAATTTAAATTTTTTGAGGTGCCCCAAAAAAAATCAAAAAATAAAAAATTTCAAAACTTCACAGAATGGCTTAGAATACTCGTGGCCACCAACTTTGAGTGAAATTTAAATTTTTTGTGGTGCCCAAAAAAATCAAAAATAAAAAAATTTAAAACTTCACAAATTGACTTAGAATACCTGTTACTACTCACTTTGAGTTAAATTTAAATTTATGGGCACCTGCAAAAGCAGAAATTTCCTTCTGTTTTATCAAACAGATTTCTCTTCCAGAAATCAATTTCTGAAGCAGAATTAGTCATGTTTTATCAAACAGATTTCTCCTTCATAAATCAATTTTTGGCAATAATTTGATTTCTAGAGTAGAATGGATTCCATGCGCGCCCTAAAGCTTTGTTCGTTTGACGAAAAATGAAAACATTTTTTGGGTTTTCCAGTGTTCGGGGGGCGGAAAATATTTTCCCTCAATGAGGAAAAACATGAACAAATCTAAGGAAAATGACTTCCTCTTTTTGAAAAGAAGAAGTCATTTTCCACGATCTTCTTCTTTTTCTTTCACCATTTTATTTTCAAGATTTTCTTTCCCCCTCGATCGCCAGCCGCCGCCGCCGCCACCCTCTAGTGGTCACCAAATACCGGAATATATTTTTCCGAGACTTTTTCATATTTCAGCCGAACACCAGAATATATTTTTTCCGAGGCTTTTTCTCAAATCTCACTTTTTTCTTCGAGCTTCGTTTGATTTGTGATGAATGGTTTGAAAAATAATTTTTTTAAAAAATTGTCACTTGTATTGCTTACAAAAATAAATTAATGGAAAATATTATCATTGTCCACAAAAATATTTAAGCATTAATTATCGTCGATAACAAAAATATTTTCGATTAAGTAATTATTTCAAGTAATATAAATGATCATTTTTAAGAAATTATTTTTCAAATCATTCATTTTTCTAAGAAACAAATAGTCTTATAACATCCACTTATTTTGTGAATTAATTTCACTGTAGTTTTATAAACATTCCACTACCAATATAAACTTGCGAGAACCACCGAATATGGCACGAACCACACATTATGTTCTTATTTATATAATTAGTACGAGTTGAATGCGAAATAAATACAAAATAAAAATTTCATTCACACTCTTTGCCTTCTTAATTAAACTGTACATTCGTGACTTTTTGTCCAAGGTTACAAACTCATTTTATTTCATGTTCTCTTTACATGTAAAATATACAATCCCGATGTTCGTACAAGTCACATATTTGATCGGGCAATTATAAGACGACAAAGTCATGATTTTTAAGATAAGCCACGTCTCATCCTCTCGGGGCTTTAAAATACAACGGAGAAGAAAATCGCCGCGCAGTCTTTCCCAACGTCCCGATTTCAGCCGAACTTCCTTCACTGCCCTCGCGCGAGCGACGAAATCACCGAATCTGACACCGAATATGCCCCGCCGGCAGAAGAAGACGCCGAGGGCAAATCAGGAAAGATCCGTAAATCCGTTGTACCCCTCTTTTCCTCTTGCCCCCCGAGTCGCCGTAGCTTTCAATCGCCATAAAAAGCGTCCACGGACCCGCGAGACCAGAATCGAGATCGAATTCGATCTCTCTTTCTCTCTCTCCATCTCGACGGGCGATCGCGCCGTTCGATTGCGCGCAAAGCGTTTGCGTACATGAAAGGTAACAGAGATTTGAGCTAGCTTTTTGCTGGCGTGGTTTCGTGTTTCGTCTCGAGGACGATGTTCGATCCCGGTTTTCTCTTGCAGGATATGGAGCGGAACGGGTCGTGGTTGAGGGCGGTGGTGGTTCTGACGTGCTTGGTTGCCGCGAGCGGGGCGAGAGGTAATCGCAATTCGCGTTCGTTGCATCGGTTAACTGCTGCTCTGGTCCTCTGACTCGATTCGGGTTTGGGAGTTTTGATTGTGATGAGGCGCGAATAGAGAGGCTCTGGGATTGAGTAGGTCGGTTTCGAGCTTGGACAGTGAGATTTGTATTGTGAATTTGGGCGGGTTAGGTGTTTCAGGTTTGGGGGGAAATTGTAGACTGTGTGGTGGAGCTGCGGTGCCTGACTGAATGGGGCAAACTATAGCTGTATGATGCCCCCTGGTGTACAATTGGATGTTTTCGGAGCATATAACTGACGGGCATTGTGTTGTTTTTGGTTGGTTTTGTTGAGTAATGGACTGTTTGGCTGTAGGTTTTCGTGGAGTAGCTTTATTGGAAAGTGGCGCCCTTTGTTGTTCACTTATTCCCCTATCATTGCATTGCACCGTGTACATAGTTCTTTCGGTTCATGGAGAAGGATGGCAGAAATATACTGAAATATTGTTTTGAGTCGATGTTTCCTTAAAGTGTTCCCCTCGCTTGATTTGTCAAAATAGCTTGCAAGAGACATAAGAAACTTGCTGCATTGCTTGTAATTGTATGAGCTTTTGACCGCATTATCAATTTGAAATTTTCTCAACTGGTAAATGCAGAACTTGGAGTGAGGTCCAAGGCTCATAAAGCTATTTACAATCACACTCTTGCCACGATATTGGTGGAGTATGCATCTGCCGTAAGTGGTCTTTAAGAAAAGTTTCACACTTACCTAGAGCTTGTTGTTGTTACTCATCAGGTTTCCCCATTTCAATACAATAAAATTGTAATTTAATGCAAAGCTTTTAATTGCAGGTTTACATGTCAGATTTGACAGAACTTTTTAGTTGGACATGTCCTAGATGTGATGGAAAGACCAAGGTAATTTGACTACTTATTAATATGACATTGTTGCTAAGGTTGTGCGAAGAATGGATCCTTAGTACTAGATAGCCAATTCTTGATATGACATTTTGTCGGCATATGCTGCACTGTTATGTGAGCTTCTGAACTGGCTATCAATGCGTTTTGATCTGAAAGCAGGGGTTTGAAGTCATTGAACTGATAGTTGACATTCAGCACTGCTTACAGGTATATAATTTGTTTTACAGTGGCCTGCCAATTTGCGATGCTTGTGATGCCTCTATGTTTGAATTGCATCTAATTGTTTGTCTCTATTTCTAAACCACTCGTAGGCATATGTTGGGGTCGCCAAGGACCTTAATGCTGTGGTTATAGCTTTCAGAGGTACTCAAGAACATAGGTATGCATGCATGTTAACTTTAGCAATTCTTCCCCTTAAATGGACATGCAAAGGACTTGATGAAAATTTAAGCTAAGAAGAGCAGCCTCGGTGAATGTGTACACGAGGCAAATGGGTCTGCTGTCCATATGAAGGGAAAAAGGGTGAATCATGTAACTTTCCTGTAATTTTAGATGGAGTCATGAGGAGATTACATACTTCACTAATTTTCTTCAGTGAAATTTCTCTCACGTCTCTTTTTCATTCGAGCTTTTCGGTTAGTGATTACTTCTATTTGTGTCTACAGCATACAGAATTGGGTTGAAGATCTCTACTGGAAACAGCATGACATAAACTACCCTGGCATGCCTGGTGCCATGGTGAGTACTAGAGATGATAAGCCTCTTGCAACCTGTGGATACTTCTGATTTGGATTAAGTTACAGTCTTACTCTATTAATTGTTGCTTAGGTTCATCGTGGATTTTATTATGCTTATCACAATACGACAATTCGACCTGGTATTTTGGATGCTGTTATAAGAGCCAAGGATCTATATGGAGACATCAACGTCATGGTGACAGGGCATTCTATGGGAGGGGCCATGGCATCCTTTTGCGGACTTGATCTTGTGGTAAGATAAATTGAAAAATTGTTATGGCTGGGACTTGTGAATTTCATTGGTTTCTTTTCTATCGTGTTCTTCAAACTATTCAGTTTTGGTTTGTTAAGAGTTATCTGGATTTCTCTGCGAAGTCTACGTTGAAAAGTCTAGGCTCTTTATGTGGATCTTGAACTTTCTATGGCTCTCATATGTATATTTACAATTCTTCATACATAGCATCTTGTTTTCTTACGTTTTTGGTAAATCAACTCATAAACAAAACATAAGCAGAATGGGGTGCAAACAGCACTTTACGTGAACCACCAATTATTGAAGTATCTAGTTGTGTGAATTGAGTCGTACATGTTAAGCTTTGGAGCTTCGAGTTGGTTGAGTACTTAAATTTAGTGGGTAAAGACATCGACTATCCATAGTTTACTTGCTGGAAACTTTATGGGATTGTTGATATGTTTATGGTCCAGACATATAACTTTTTTAGGCACTTGAAGCTCAAATTTTATGTCATGTAATCTTAAAGTGCCTACTCAGTTTAAGATAGATTGTATATCGATCCTAAATTTGTGTTTTATGCGCTGTTTCTGTCCGTCTCTCTCTAATCAAATGAAGCAGCTCCTCTTCAATTGGACTACTGGACCAGATATTTTGTAGGCTGGAGCCAATTCTAAGGTGTCTAAATTATTCTTTTTGTCTCAGCTTTATTAAATAGAGTGGTCCAGTGTACTTTTCTAGGCACCTGTTGCGGAACTGGTACCAAAAATGGTACCCACCCCAAATTTCGTTTTCCATTGATTCTCTCTCCATGACAAGTGGTCATTTTTTGAGAGTCAAACTTTCATGTGGACTCTGATAGGATCATAGGTTGCATAAACTTTAGAGTATACCATTTCTCAAAGTATTGGTAGCAAGTATAACATCTTGTCCTAACACAAATGATTTAAGAGTTTACCTTTTTTGATTTCTTGCTGAAAATTGTTCTTAGCCGATTGTGACCACATGCCCATGTGTTGTGGCCCTTTTTTTGATTTAGGGGGTGTTTGGTTCAGCTTTGGGACGAAAGCCCCTTGGGGAAATGCTGAACCGTTTGGCAAGCATTCCCAATGGGCTTTCTGCCAAAAGCCAGCATTTGCCAAAATGCTAAACCCAATTTTTTTTGCCCCAAACTAGTCTCACTTATTCTGGTTTATTCCGGTTTTGCCCCTCTTATTATTGTTCATCTTTTGCGTGAGGGTGGCTAGCGAGGGAGGGCGGCCGACACCGGATTGAGCCGGCGAGGTTGCACGACCCAGGCCAGCGGCGCCTGGGCGGTTGCACGGCTCCAGGTGGGTCACGCGACCCTCGCCAAGGGTCGCCCGGCCTCGGGTGACGGCCGGCGGCGGCAGATCTGGCTTGCGGGGGGTCACTCGACCTTGGGCAACAGCCGCCGGCGCCAGATCTAGCTCGCTGGCGGCCATAGCCCTTCGCCGGCTCCGGCAAAGGGTAGGGTAAGTTTTTTTTTTAATAAAAAAGAAAATTCCCAAAGCCCTTTGCAAAACAAATTTGCCAAACACTACTTGGGCCAAAGTAGCTTCACAAAGGATTTTTTACCAAACGCCATTTTAGTTTCTCCTTTGCCATTTGTGTCAATAAGTTTTGGAGTTCAAGGGGCATTTTCACCATGAACCTGGAATATTTTGTTTATGTCATTAGCAGGATGTGACTCATGCCACCAACATCCAATTGCTTCTTGTGGCAGCATTTAAATGCGCCTCGTTTGTAAATTCACTGCCAATCCCACTATTCCATATTATTAACACCTTTTCTTGGAGCTGGGGGTGGAATTGTTTTATTGTGGGTGTGAGGTTTGGTGGTGGGAAAATTATGGATGGGATCTTGAAAGAGTAACGCTAGACCTTTAGCCTTCATGGAGAGAAAGGGCTGTTCTATTGTTCACCATTGTATGTGAAAAGCGATATGTGATTATTGGTGCATAGTGTTTCTTTTTCGGTCCTGAAAGGGCCATTGATGTGTTAACATTCAAGTTATTTGGCTGTCTAGTATGAGTGCTGAAGCTGTTTTTTCTGGACCAGCACATTCACTTGATTTACTTGTATAAATGGGGAACACTTTATTTCAGGTGAATCATGAAGCACGGAATGTTCAGGTTTTAACATTTGGACAACCTCGTATTGGCAATGCAGTGTTTGCATCTTACTACAGTGACCGCGTGCCAAATACGATACGTATTACTAATGGACATGATATTGTGCCTCATTTGCCTCCGTACTATTCTCGGTTCCCACAGAAGACTTACCATCACTTCCCTAGAGAGGTAAGGCTTTGATCATATAAATTATGGGGAATTGTCGTTGACTGAATTTGATGTTTTCTTTGCATTTCTTTCAACCTATCTTCCTGGTGAAGTTTCATTTATTCCAACAATGTATTTACTCTCTTTTTTCGACGTATAAAATATAACTGTCTTGTTTTTATCTTCTTAGTAAAGCAGGATAGTTTGTAGTACTCATGACTTTTCAGAAATGTTTGAGTAACTCTCATTCCTGCATGAGCCATCATTAGTTTTCTCATACCAATTCCAAAGTTTAAGATGCATCATAGTGTCTGCTATATACTCTCTTTCTCTCTTTGATGGCTGATAAGATCGTCTTAACCTCTCTCTCTCTCTCTCTCTCTCTCTCTCTCTCTCTCTCTCTCTCTCTCTCTCTCTCTCTCTCTCTCTGATGGCTGTCTTAACCTAGTCTTAGGCATCTTAGGCTCTGTGCAATTATACGCATTTTAATTATTGTATGTCAACATCCACTAATGCTTATAATTATTGGCGACTAGCTCAATGACAGCTACGGATAAACACATTGATGTGAGATAATGTAAAAATGATCTGATTCCACCTGCTTCTCTGGTGACTAATCATAATCTTTTCTATGTCAGTGTTCACATGTAATTGGAATGTTCGCTTTGTTGTAGGTATGGCTATATAATATAGGATTTGGTAGTCTGGTTTATCAGGTTGAGAAAGTTTGTGATAGCTCTGGAGAAGATCCATCATGCAGCAGGTAATGATGTTGTTTCAGTCGTAGCTACTTGTTCTAGCAATTAGTTTGTGGATTTGTCATGCTAGACGCAACAAGTCGTGTGACAGACCAGCTTGTTCTAGAGAATGTTGGTCCTTTGTTACCAGGAATATATGTGGACAACTGATGAGAGTGCGTCTCTGCAGATCAGTAACTGGTAACAGCCTTGCGGACCATTTAGTTTACTATGGTGTGGGATTAATGGCTGAGACATGGGGATCATGCAAAATCGTCATGGACGCACGATTGAAGGAATATGGAGGTGAAGATGTCAAAGGAAATCTTATTGTTTCCAGGAATCTTTCTGCTTCTGCATTGAGGCTGCCTTCAGACTCTGATGCCAAGAACAACTTCAGTTAAAATGCTTCTGGTTCAGCACCTTTTTTCTCAAAGATCATCAGTGACCTCTGTGATGGCGGTCATGAAATGCATTCCATCGATCTGTTGTCCATATCCATCACAAGCATAAGAGCTCTACTCAAATTCACTCTGAATTTAAATAGTACGAAGTTGAATGTGTCATCCTTGTAAATACAACTCCGTGACTTCCATTGAATAAATACGTTCGCAAGTTTACTTGTCAATCTAATCTTAGGCCTGTGGCTTTGTTTACCAGACTTGATAAAACCTAATAAGGATGTGTGAATGCTTAACTGAGCTATTTATAGTTGAATCATGTAGCAAAATTGGCAGATGTGTGAACTTGGAACTGTGAGACTTGCACGGTTGGGCAATTAACCAGTTTTACAAGGTGAAACAAAGAGTGCCAAAGGAGACCACTTCTCAATCTGTGACCTTACCTTCTGCTATAGGCACATTGTCACAATAGACTTCTTGGCACAAGTGCTTCAACTCTTTCCCAGCAGGGGGTTATGCTCAAGCCATCTTCGAAATCGATTATGACCTTGTCTTGCATCAGTTCCACTGGCAACCTTTGCTAAATCTTAACTTTTAGGAGGTAAACGACTTATATCATCTTGGCTTGGACTTGTAACACTGATCAGCCTTTGGAAGTAGAGTTGTAAGCTTTTACCTTCTTTTGGCCGATATACAAGAATTAACATTAGTGGAAACCTGAAAAACTAAATTTCCTCCGTCATTTCAAAGGATATATTGCTCATCATGACCATTCAAAGCACATTGTGCAAGAGACCAACTAATTCCTTGACAACATATGATAATTTAGAGTTTGTACATTATGATAAAAGCCAAAGTACAACATCAAAGTGTTGGAAAAGAGATATTGAGTGAGTTAGCCACGGGCACAACTAACCTACACAAAAAGACCCTGTAAATTTCTCTTGTTACCGATAGAAAAAGCTTAGGCGGTCATATAGGACTTTTGTCGGGAGCGGTTCTCCTTGTCAATGTTGAAACCTAAAGCTCCATCCCTAGGATAACCAAAAGGCAAATGGCAAAGCTTCTATTACTGATTAAAGCCTATACATTTGAATATACCCTTCATTGTTTTAGGTGTAACAAAGTTAATATTTACAAGGCATGGATATCAGCTTCAAATTTGAAGTACAACCCAATAACTTCCGATGATCTCACATAAAAGACGAACATGTAAATTGACAAAATTAATGCACTTGAATATAGTAAACTAGCATCAATTTGACTCGTCTTTTATTGAAAACTTAATTCGTCAACCAAAATTGTCAACCGGGAATATATCTAAACCAAATCGAACTCATGAAATAGATCAAAAGAAACCATGGTCCCATTTCATAAGTAGTTTATAGCCATCCATCTTAAAGGTAGAAAGTGATCGAAAAAACGGCTAGCAGTTAACTATACAAGTGTACAAGTTTCAAGTCAATTTGGCAAATTATGATTCTAATTTAGTATAGAGAATACAATTCCGGGAAAGACAATAACGAATATCTGCTAGAATGACGTAGGGCAATAAGCAATTTGCTTAAGTTTCCAAGCTTCCTTGACAACAAATCTGGTTGTAAGTGCAGGACCTTTCAAGAACTGCATGCACTTCTTATTGAAAAATGCACTCCCTTGTAGAGCATGTCTTCTCAATTTTTCAAGAAATGGCCGAATCTCCTAAGCAATGCCAGGCCTCGCATCATTTGAACCTCTTCAAGTTAAAACAGTCAGGTCTCACGCATGTTATCCCCTCTCTGCAAAGTGTTTCTACTCAATCAACTTACATCAAGGATGGCAGGGCCTTCAATCAACAATTCTTCCAGAGATTCTGGTAGTTTGTGACAAGCAAAGTCCACATTACTACAATAATCTAGTGTAACTAACTTCTACTTCTGCCAATGAGTCGGATTAGGGAAACTCTCTCCCTTTTTCAAGATCGAAGAGCTTCGGAATTGGTAGATACTCCAAATAGTCAAGGCCTTGAATCTCTGATGCTGTAGAGTTCTCTATTCTTAGTTCTGACAGTCTCTTCAAATTTGAGAGATGCATTGCTATTCTCATCCACTGGCAAGATTCAACACATAAATAAGATAAACTATGAGGGAAGCATTGGGAGGCACAACAAATTAGCACACTAGTGTTCTAGTCTTTTGAGTTGAAAAAGGATGACCAATATCTGTTGATAAGGCGGTTACAACAGTAGACATATAAGGTGGTTACAACAGCAGATGACAATGTTAAAGACTCCAATTTATTTAATCTCACAATGTACCGTGGCATAGTATCTCCCACAAGTTGACAATTGTCTACGGGGTAAGCATCTGGTCGAATGGCCAGATACAAATTATTTAAACTTGTAAGGTTTGATAAACCGGGAAATATCGTCGTCGATGTATTAATGTGCAAACTAACGAGACTTTCTGGAAGCTTTGGTACTTGGTATGTTTCAGTCAGTGTCAATTTTAGGATCCTCAAAGACGAATTTTTGCAAATGTCATTTGGAATTTCCAGTCGCAAGCTTTCACCATGTGCTGCGTCTGTTTCTTCTAGCTTTTACAACAACCATAAGGCACTAGGTATCTTTCCAATAAAACAATTGTTCATCTTCACTACTTTCAAACTTTTCATGTTTCCTATTGAGTCATGTAGCTCTTTAATGCACGCTTAGGAAATATCGAACTCAAGTAGTGATCGCAGATTGCCAATCGAGTCTGGAAGCCTCTCTATACATTCACATTCTTTTGAAGACAAGTATTCAAGGATTGTAAGAGCTCCAATCAACAGGGGAAGTTGTGTAATTATGGTGCTTTTGAAAGATAGCCTTGATAGAGATGTCAAGTGACCAATGGAAGAGATTATCTTCAATAATGAACATTGTGAAGCACTAAGAATTTTGAGATCCTTCAGCACTTGATATTCAGCGTTGAAGAATTCAGTAATACCTGAACATCATAGATATTTCCCCGAGCGCATTCAATTGTTTCTTCTGGTCAACATCATCAAAAAGGAAGAGAACTCTTTTACTAGATAGCCTACCTTTAATTGTCTTGATCCCTTCATCAACATTACTTATTTTAGTCAATTTCCATTTATGGACACCAGAGATGAGTGGATTCTACAAGCACTGAATGCCCTTGAGCTCTGAAGTATCATGATTGTTAGAAACAAAGCAACAGTGCTCAAAACCATGTGACAACTGATTGTAGGTAATTTTGGCGAGAGTCGGCTTTATGACACCGCCCATTCAATTGAATTCCAACAATTCGTGTTTCCTGCTTTGTGAGCGCCTATCATACTCATAAGTAAGACTACGTTGAACACCATTTTCACATCAAAAGGTCCATGAATTGGTTTTGGCAGGCGCAACTAAGACTGCTGTGAACACCTCTTTAAGCGCACACAATTTTTCTCAACGTGCCCTGCTAGTGTTTCCTCATAAAGGAATATTTGGGTACTGATAAGCAATTTCTATTGCCTATCAATGAAGAGAACACATACAAATGAAGAGCAATATTCATTCTTATGGCCCTACATAATGGATTAATAAACAATTAGGTTTGCTTAAATAGCCCTTTTAACCCCAAAAACATTACGCGCGATGCCCCAAATTGCACAATGAATCCCTCTGCCCTGCTCTAATGATTTATCCAGAAAAAAGGGCCAAACATTCAACTAAAACTTCAAACCGAGTTTAACAGATTTAACAATTTCATCAATAGGCAACGACTTCCGTCACTAATATTCAAGTTTCTGTCTCTCAACAGATGAATACCACCCCAAGATTGTGAAAGGGAATTTAGTTGACATTATATGTCATCCTCATTTTCCTTTATTTGGTCTTCATATGTACAGCTGCCCCATTAGCCGCAGCTCCCTGCATAGAAAGCTCTATGTAAGTTTCTCAAACTCTAATTTCTTTCAACAATACTAGAAACCGGCAAAAAAGCAGGTTGTTGAGAAGTCTCCCTTAGCACTTTCTGTCAATCTTAAACCCTAACAGAGTGCTCTAGTACAGCTTGAGGTGAATGGAAGGGCTCCTATTACAGAGAATCACCCAGGTACAACCATTTCTAGAAGATGTAGGTGATAATGGAGTTCACACAAGAATCCATTCACATGATTTCTGACCCCAATGAGACTTATCATATGTCCTACGCACCAGTAATACTGAAATATTAGCCTTTGACTATAAGATGATTTATGATACCTCGGAGAAGCTAAGTAGTTCCTCTATCCTGTCACAGATGGAAGTTTTTCTGGGCAAACTACTGATGCCGCTACCCAAGTGAAATTCGTCTTTCTTCATTTTATAACTTCTCCCTAACATTTGCAAATCTCAGTAAGAAGCATACCTATTCTGGACAATAAACTGAACATAAGCATATCAATATAGAATGTCTGTCTTCTTCACAGTTGCGATGATGAGTTGATTATGCCGTAAAGTTCCAGGATGAGAACCATAGTTATATGACCTTCCAGCACACATTCCATCTAATTGTTTACAGCATAACAAAGTTATCTCCAAAGCAAAGCGAGGCCATCAACTTTGAAATATATGAAGCAGCAAATCAAGAAGGATCTCTAACAATTTGTTGCATATCAAATAAAAACTATGCAATCGAGATGCATACCTCCAGCTGGGAAACATAAAAGCAAGGAGAAACCATCCCAATAATATATAGCCAAAACAGCCAAACCAAACAAGGAAAAGAGAATGACTATTTGAACATAATTAAGAACCTTCTGGTTGTACGGATGTATCACAATTTTAATACCTTCATCAGATTTTCAGTCATCAACTCGTGAAAAGGAAATTAAAAAAGTGCATGTGAAGCTTTTCTGTTCATATCTGTGAAAGAATTTGATTGCAGAAAAGGGAAAACAATTATTTGTCAGATGAAATAGGTTACCTCAAGTTGTTTAAAGTTTGAACATGAGGGAACAATTTGTGGTCGTGGATCAAGAAGATTTCAAGAGCAACGTGCACTTATTCCTCGTCTTCTCCCCGAGATTCAGATTCGTCGTTTTCTCCCTCATCTTCAGATTCAGATTCGGCATCATCTCCTTCAGATTCAGATTCGTCGTCTTCTCCATCATCTAATTTCTTGCACCCAGTTATTTCAACCTTTCGCGGTCCCTTCAAGCTCGACAGATCAGGCAACTTCCGTAAAGAATCACATAAAGAAATCTTCAATTTTTCCAAAGATTGCGGTAGTTCGCCTTGAATCTCAGCCAGACTATGACAGTAACTTATGCAAACCTCTCGCAACCCCTTCAAGCTCGACAGATCAGGCAACTTCCGTAAAGATTCACAGGAATAAATCTCCAAGTTTTCCAAAGATTGTGGTAGTTCGCCTTGAATCTCAGCCAGACTACCACAGCTACTTCTGCAAACCTCTCGCAACCCCTTCAAGCTCGACAGATCAGGCAACTTCTGTAAAGATTTACAAGTATCAATCTTCAATTTTTTCAAAGATTGTGACAGTTCCCCTTGAATCTCGACTAGATTAAAACAATCCCGTACCCAAAGACTCCTCAGTTTGTTTAAATTGCTTAGATCAGGTAGTATCTTCACCTGTCCAAGCCTCAGAAGCTCCATATCTCGTAGGCCCTCCAGACAACCAAGGCCTCGAATCTCTGCAATTGCAGCGCCCGAAATGTGGAGAGATGATAGATTCTTCAAATCCGATAGATCCTCCATCAAGCAAAGTGAGTCGCAATCTTCCAAACGTAAGGAGGATAAACTTGGGGGAAGCCTCGTGAGGTGACGCAGTTTAGGGCTCGAGAGTACAAGTGACCGGAGTTGACGAAGGAGGCTTAGGTCTGTTGGTAAGGTGGCAATCCCGCACTTGAGGTCACGTGACTTGAGTTGAGGAGGGAGGCTTAGGTCTGTTGGTGAGGCGGTCTCACGATCAAAGCGCAGGGCTAGAGACTCCAGATTGCTCAAGTTCTCCATCCACCGTGGAATCGGATCTTCCACGGGCCCATATGATTTCCCATCATAATCACGTCCGCTAAATCCCAGATCCAGTTCCTTTAAATTAGTGAGGTTCGAGAGATCTGGAAACGTGTCCATGCACAACTCCCGCAGCCGTAAATCGATGAGACTTTCGGGAAGCCTCGGTGGAAGCGCGTATATATCCGCATCCTCCAATCTCAAGATCCTCAGGTATTGATTTCTGGAGATGCAATTGCCAATATTCACATGGCCATGCTCACGAGCAGACACATGTATTTCTTCGAGCTTCTCAATCGTCCAAAAGACATCGGGTATTTTGCTTATGTCACTACCCTCCATCTTCACTACTTTCAAATTTTTCAATTTTCCGATGGAATCGGGTAGTTCTTCGATCGGTGTGGAGGATATATCCAACTCAATCAGCGATTCCAAATTCCCAATTGTATCTGGAAGCCTCTCCAACGATTCGCAACCACTCAGAGATAGGTATTCAAGGCTTGCAAGATCTCCACCCATCTCGTCTGGCAGCCTCTCAAGTTTCTCACAATCGCTTACATCTAAGGAAACTAGGCTTTTCAAATGACAAATCGACCTATCAATTTCAGTTAATGATTCACAGCCCGATAAGATCAATCGTTCTAAATTTGAATGGGCAGAGAAGTTGGGGGTTCTCTTCAAGCGTTGGCAATCGGATATGTCCAGCTCAATCAGCGATTTCAAATTCCCTATCGTATCCGGAAGCCTCTCCAACGATCCGCAACCACTCAGAGATAGGTATTCAAGGCTTGCAAGATCTCCACCCAGGTCGTCTGGTAGACTCCGAAGTTTCCCACAAGAGCTTACATCTAAGGAAACTAAGCGTTTCAACCGACAAATCGACCTATCAATTTCGGTCAATGATGCACAGCCCTTTAAGATCAATCGTTCTAAATTTGAATGGGTAGAGAAGTTGGGGGTTCTATTCAAGTGTTGGCAATAGGACAGATCCAGAACTTTCAAATTCTTCATCACCTGTGAAAAGAAAAACCATGCAAAGATTACTTTTGAATCTCATAAGACGGAATAATAAGTGTTGTCTAGCATATAACATACCTCCATATGGCTCCACCCCTGCCAATCATGCGTAATTTCACTGAAAGATAGATCAAGAAAAACCACATCCTCCATGGAGAAATTTGTAATGTTAAATGTTGGGGGAATACGATGCCACGAAAGCCAACGTAAATGTGGAAGGAGATCTGAATTCTCTTGAAAAACATTAGTTGGAAGAACATTTGATGGCGATTCATGCGAAAGAAGCCTCTCTTCTGCACTAAAATATTCCTCCGAACCGTTAACTTGAAGAAACAGCAAATTTGATATTCTCTTAAAGTCCTTACAGGTAAAACAGTACCGCCGCTCATGGTCAAAGTGGAGACGAAGAGCTTCAACTTTTGTTTTTCCCTGCCCAATGGAAAATTTTAAAAAAACAAAAGAGTTGAAGCAAAACACATTTATTCAAGTTCACTATTTTGAAGGGTTGAGTTGGAGTACTATCGTTCCTTTAATCTTGACAGAGCAAGAATATTGGTTTGAGTAGGTCACCATAGTGCTAGAGAACACAAAAAAGTAACTGGCTTTTTAAAAAAAAGAAAATGTCTACAAGCTACATGGAGATTTATCGCACAGGGGATTTTACCTCATGTCTCCTCAGCAAATCCAATGCTTCCCTAGGATCCCACACCCTCCGTTGCTTCTCTATTTTCATCTTACTTTCTTGACGAACTATTTCTCTTCCGAGGTCTCTGAGTTGGTCATGCATCCACACTTTATTATACTCTACAATCTTTATCAAAGACATGTTCTGCAAAACTTCCAAGGCTACTTCTGGAAATTTTGATTCATCCCAGTAATGAACCACAATTTTTTTGTCATATCCAATGAAAATACAAGCTATATCGAGGAATATATGCTTCTGCCGATCATTTAATGCATCATAACTTATTTTCAGTTTACTTTGAACTTTACCATCAGGCACACTTTCTAGCATCTTCAATGTGGCCTCCCACTCTTTCTTATTTTTGCCGGATAAAACTGAGCCTATGACTTCTAGAGCTAGCGGAAGACCTCCAGCAGTGCACATTGCCCTATGGGATTGGTTGATATACTCGTCCAAAGGGGAATCTCTTCTGAAGGCATGTTTGCTAAAAAGTTGAAGAGATTGATCACGATCCATGCCCATAAGCTCATAACAGTCGTCCACTTTATGAACATCAAGAACTTCTTTGTTTCTGGTAGTAATAATAAGTTTACTCCCTTTACCAAACCAATCATGCTCACCTACAAGTGCATCCACGTGATTCTTTTCATGCACATCATCAAGAAGCAGGAGAACTCTTTTATTAGACATCCTCTCTTTAATTATCTGAGTTCCTTCATCAATGTCTTTTATATCCATGCCTTTCATTTTGAGGATGTCCGAGATGAGTTGCTTCTGCAAGCAGTGAATACCATTACGTTCTGACACTTCTCGAATATCGCGAAGAAAGCAACGATTCTCAAAGTCGTGTAAAAGCTTATTGTAGATCATTTTGGCAATAGTCGTCTTTCCGATGCCACCCATCCCGTGAATTCCTATAATCCGTGTTTCACTTGTCCCAGCACCTATCTTTTCCATGATTGCATCCACATGGTTGTCGACACGGACCAAGCGGTCTGATACCTCTAGATAACCCTTTTTCAACTCGCTGAGAACCTTATGGGTAAGTTCTTTTGCGAACTCTCCTTCTCGCCTAGTGTTTGTTGGAGGCAAAAGACAATGAGTTAGAAAATTGTGTTGAATTAACTATGTTCTGACAAGACCAAATTAAATTCGGAATGTGTTCTTCAAGGATTTATTCCATTGTAGATGAATTAGCGTTGGTACTTACAGTTAATGAATGAAATAAACTGGAAAAAAATTGATGCTTGGAATAAAATGGGACAAAATTGGGATTGTGCCATTACTTAGCGAGTTTTCAGCAGTATAACTTCAATAACACAGAATTCAATTTAAACAGGGCTAACACAAATCTAGAAAAGAAACCTGAAACACAAAGTTTTAATGGTAAAAGGTACATGAGATGGAATGCTTAAAGCAATCACCTGTTCTCCTTCTTGCTATGCAGGTCCCATCCGTTTATTGCTCCCACTGCCCTGAGAGCATCCTTCCACCCTTCAATAGTCTTTTCGTCGTGTCGCTTCTTGTTTTCATGTGCAAGAAAGGCCTTTGCATAACCCTCTGTTTGGTGCCGAACCTCTGAAGGCGCCACATCATAAAAAATAGGGATGATCTTTTGTCTTCGAGTTTTCTGGCACTCGACCATCTGGACTAGCTCCTTGAGACACCATACGCTAGAGGCATAGCCTTTCGAAAAGATAGGTATTGAGATCTTCGACTGATTAATTGCTTGGAGAAGTTCTGGGGCAAACTCTTCCCCGACGCCGAGCTCTTTGTCGTCCTTAAATGTGCGGATTCCCACATCATTAAGACAAGTGTAAAGGAAGTCGGTAAAACCCGCTCGAGTATCTGATCCATTGAAGCTTAAGAATACTTCATAGTCATGTCCTGATGAAGTAGCCATTCCTTGACCTTCTGTTGAAGTGTGAGTAGAAGAAGCGGCTCCTGCTGTTCCATCATTTTCACAGATGCGTCTTTCTTGTGGCCTCCCCTCCATTCGATCTCACTTGACCTTCTCCTCAAGAGAAGATTGAAAAGTATAGCAGCAAAAGCAGTGGCAGCAAGAGATGGAAAAAGTTTAGAAGCCAGAACTAACAAACGGAGATCTCTGTGGGTCATTAAACGTAGAAGACAGGATTGGCTAAATATGCATAGAGTGGAGGGCCAGTTTTCTAGAATTGGTCAAATAAGAAGGATTCATTACAGCCTGTCAAAGTGGACAAATGCAAGTTTTTTCAAAACCAAAGTGGTCCCTCCCAACTCAATTCTTCTCTTTTATCTTCACCGTCATAACGCAATTGAAAAGAACAGGAAGATAAAATTGCGGAGTAAATAAACTAGTGGAATTCTAAAAAGATGGGAGCAATCGAGTGCTTTCGGTTATGATGCTCTTCAATTTTAATAATCTATGTCTTTGTGGAGTTTCTGACAACACCGTGTTGCGATGAATGCCCCACGCACTCGCCCGCGGCGCGTTTTCGCTGGTACATAATTGTAGGGTCACTTTCGGGGTTTGGGTGTCGAGTCAGTGCTATTTTGGGAATAACAGCCCCCCGTCTGGTCATATGAGTTGTTCTTTGACCTTTTTGTTCTCCCCCGCACGCGCAGATAAATGAATTATTGGTGTGATTCCTTTTTGTTTTGGTCGATGTGTGATTCCTTCTTGAGAAATCTGGTTCATGCACTGTTCGTAGTCCAAGTCTTCGAATACTTTGACTTTGCCCTTCTAGTTCGGTGACACACATCTCCTCCCCCCCACGCTGTTCTTTTATTTTATTTTTTCTTCGGAGAGCGGTAGCTATTGCAATTTTTAATCTAATGATTGTATTTCGATGCAAGGCAAAACTATATGTATACGGCAATTTCGTAATTTTCATTTAGTTAAATTAGATAGTATCAATTTTTGTGATGATTGATGACACGATTGGCTAGTCTATTTAAAGATCAAAGTTTCTCTAAACATATGGTGTTTATTGTGTAAGTATTTTTCAAGTTTCTACATCAATTTTGTGGTAACTGAACATTTCGTGTTTCTCCATAGAAAATAGCCACTTCGCAACTAAAGTTTCACAATACTGACTCGACGACAACCAACATAAGCAGTAGCTACCAAAATCATCTTCTATCAACCGTTCTTTAGCCAACCAAAGTCACCCGTAAAGAGTTGGCACGTACAATATCATAAGCTTTTCAGAGTCCGGATTATGATCAATCCAATGATGAATAAACCGAGCATTGTCTCCCCTCCATTGATCTCACTTGATCTTTTCTTCGAGAAACGTTTCTCGAAGGAAACGTTTCAAAGATGAAAAAAAGTTCAAAAGCCCTGCTTATCAAATGCTGCTGGCCAAAAAAAACAATCATTTATCAAATGGTGACAGCCTATCAATCAACTATCAAAGTAATAAACGCACCGGAGACCTCAACCCGCGTTCACGGCGAAAGTGGCCCGCGAGAGTCCAAGGAAAATCTGGTTAAAAAAGCAAAGTGATAATGAAAAAGACATAAAGCAATACAGCAAAGAAAAAGAAGATGGGTCATCCTAACGTGGAAAAGAAGACCCTGCCAATGCTTTAGCGTGCCTTTTTGTTGTCGGCAAGATTTTTTCCCTTGCCCAGAGGAATTTATTTTCATAGTTATATTCATGAAAAATTGTCATTGAGATCTTGTTTTACCATCTTCTTTATTTAACTTATGGTCAATTTGTTTGATGAAAAATCATTTTTGAGAAAAAAAATTTCCATACTTTTCCGGTATTTGAATTACGTAAAATCATTTGATCAATATAAAATGTTTACCATAGACTAAAAACAATAAGCTTAGAGAATAACGATTTGGTAAGAAGGAATCGTTTTTCCCGATCTCTTGTTGCGTTGAAGTAGAAGAATATACTTCATTAGTGCTCAATTTTCTTACATTCCCAAAAACAAGATCATATATAATACTTTACAAATATGGTTTCATAATTTTTATCCTAATTTCTTTGTAATCGTTGTTATTTTGATGGGATTACAGATTAAACAAAGACGATATCGATTCGAGTTTATTAGTCATTATATGTTACTTTCAACGATACAAGCCGCCTTTAATGGATTTCACTTATTACTAATTACGATAAAATCAATTTTTTCAACTTGTTTTCACCATAATCATTTTTTTTAATTTACTTTCTCTGAAATTAAATTTCCTAAAAACATTTTCCTATGACAAGAAAATCCTCACCGAGATAAACACACTCTAAAAGTTTATTTTTATATGATTTTCAATTTTCATATGATGATATTTGATAGGAGGGAATCGCAAAATGAATCATTGGTGTGATTCCTTCTCGAGCAAGTTGGTTCATGGACTGTTCGTAGTCCAAGTCTTCATAGACTTTTGACTTTGCCCTTCTAAACCCGTGATGTTTCAGTCTTCTTGCACCAACCGTACGCTGTTCTGTCTTTTTTTCTTCTCTCTTTCCCAGAGTGGTAGCTAATGTTACTACTACGTTAAAACGAGGCATAGGGAGCTTAGGTTTTAGATTGTTGGCGTCCGCATCAAAATCAAATCGACCAATCTCATGCAACTTTTAATCTAATAATTACATTTCGATGCAATGCCAAACTATACGTATATGACACATTCCATTTCCATTTAGTTAAATTCGATAGTATCAATTTTTTTTATTTGATTGATGCCATGATTGGCCAAATTATCTAGAAAATAAAGTTTTTGCTTGCGAGTATTTTTCGAAGTTTCTAAATCAATTTCGCGGTAACTAAACATTTCATGTTTCACGATAGAAAATAAAATCTCGGTAGATCCGATGGTGTAAAAATGTTCCATTCCTGAATTCACAAGTTCTTAAGTCTTTTCAGACAAAATTCCTAGTGTGACCAACAAAAAATTTAAGATTGAAGATATAAAATCACGATGACTCGATGAGTAAAAAAAAACTCTTGGGAAGTATCAAATTCCCCAAATTGATACCAATGGAAAATTAAATTTGTTCTCTGATAGCTTTATCTTTGATTATACTCCACTAAGCTTTTGGTTTTTTAAATTGGGCTCCTTTCGTTCGAATCGAAATCGAGCTTTCTCCATTAGCTCAAAAGCTCGGGGGGAGAAGAGAAAATAGGTGGGATCCCACTGCCTGACTCCTAGTCTTATCAAAAGAAAAGAAAAACTTTTCGTATAGATGCATGGGGCCTTAAGTATCAAGACCCTTTGTTCCTCCTTCACCACAGAACATTAAGGAACTAATAATAGGAAGATTTCTTTGAATGACTTTTTGGTAGGTCATTGAACTTGGAAAAGCCAAAGGATTGGCTGAATATGCAGATAGCCGTGGGCCTGTTTTGCTACAAAATTGGTCAATAAGGATGCTTTCTTGAAGCATTGCTCCCAGCCTGTCAAAGTTGACAATTATTTGCGTTCTTTAACGCGGCAAAATCACTGGACATGTGGTGCAGATATTTTGGGGATTACAATCACCTTTTGCCACCCAAACAAATAAATGGGCGGATTCATTCAAAGTCAAAGTCAACAAAAGCAGACATCAAACTTCCAACCAAGTTCGTTTCCCCCCATCCTAATCAAGGTGAACTCCGGTCGGTCTAGTTTGATGGGCTGATCAGGCCAAGAAATAAAAGACAAGTGTTGTGATGGCATACGTTAGACAAGGGGCTAAGGTAGAAACTCTAAAATTATCTACTAAACTTATTTGTCAAATCTGCGATATAGATATCTTGCTGCAATATAAAATTGAAAGGTCATGACTTTTTTCAAAGAAAATTAAGATTTCATGTCAACTTAATACAAAATTGAAAATTTATGTTCTCCCTTATAAAGTAGAAAGTTAAGGACATTTTTAATAGCAATTTGGAAAGCTCAAGATTCTCTAGATCTGGAAAATGCAGTTTTTCCAAAAATGACTTTTTTATAAAAGAAAATGAGAACCGTTTGTATTTTCACACTTGTATAGTATCTATTTTCACGAATCCATTCATTCTCTTGCTAAGATGATTTGATCAATATCACTTAATATATCAATTTTAGTATACTTATTAACATTACTTTTAAATAAGCTGGATTTATTTTGTTTAACTTCAAATGACGAAAAGTCCGTGCTTATTGAGTAAAAGTGCACATCTTTTTTAACAACATTGATGGAAAAAAAACCACATATTGCTAGCAATTGTAATTAAATTGCCATTAAGTAAAACCCGTCATGCGAAACGGCAAACGTGTGTTATTTTACAAATTTTTATTGAAAATCTCAAGAAATTATTAAATTTGTGCTATGGAATCATTCATCAGATACTGCCGGCCAAAAAAAAGGAAATCATCTAATCAAATGGGGGCCGCCTATCAATTAACTATCGAAGTAATTAACCCGCCGAGGACCTCAACCGTCATTCACGGCGAAACAGTCCAAGAGAATCCGAGGAAAATCTTGTTAAAAAAGCAAAGTAATAATAATGAAAAGGTATAAAGCAATGAAAAGGAAGATGGGTCATGCTAGCGTGGAAAAGAAAACCCACCAACGCTTTTTAGCGTGCGTCTCTTGCGTCGTTGGCAGGACTTTAGTCAAAAGTAGCCCGCAAGGCAAAAGAAGAAGAAGAAGAAGAAGAAGAACAACATGAGGATGCATTTCGGTGGTAAGAAATCATTCACTATTGCTCCTTCCCGTTTTGCCCCTTCTTGTCCCGAGGAATTCCTTTTCATAGTTATATTCACGAGAAATCATCCTTGAGATTTGTTTTACCATCTTCACTTTTGTTCTGACTTTAGTCGCGGGGGCTTGGATATCCGGAAGAAAGTGACAATTCTTGTAATTGCACGAAAGCTGATAGTAAATGATTTTGGCAATAGTCATCTTTTCGATGCCACCCATCCCATAGGTTCTGATGATTCGTGTTTCACTTGATTGAGCACCTATTATTTTCCCGAGTTTATCTTCTGGTGATCGACACTGACCAAGCAGTCCAGTAAGCCTTTTTCAACTTAACTTTTAAGAAAAGTGGAATCGAATATATTCTTGCTTTGCTTTTGTCCTTTTTCGCTATGTGCTGGAGACCTTAACATTTGTCCACCTTCTTTTTAGCATTTCACTTTTTCTCTTCTGCTTTTCGGGACGAGATAGGATATGAAGGGATATGATTGTTCACTTTGAATCTCTTTATTGGCATCAATTGTGTGGTCTATCGTCATACAAATTTGACATTTATCAATGACTTCTTTTTTCTTTTTTTTTTGGGTCCTGATTTATCAATGACGTTAGCTTGCAAATATTTGCGCAATTTTGTTCCAAAGGGTAATACTTTCCGAAAAAAAGAAAAAAAAAAGATGGAATTGTCCCTCACATTCCTCCTCGTTTATTTAACTTAGGGTCAGACTATTTGATGAAAAATCATTGTTCGAAAATTTTTTTCCATACTT